TGCTGGAGAAATAAGTACTTAATTCTTATGCACCTTGACCTGTAGAAACTTTTATAAATTTCATATGCAGTTATTTAGAAGTCTACAATGACATTATTCAGTTCTGCTACACAGCTATTAACATGTCTCTAATTCAATCTCCCATTACTTTCAACAGATATACCTCATAGAGTTTCGACTAATGCTTATTGACATAATTGTCATAAACAGTCCTGGCTACTGTAACAATTGTGCAGACAAGAAATAAACAGTTTCACAATCTCTTACAGGAACCTCTACATTAGTTCTCTAGTCCTCATGGATTTCTTTCTGATGGTTCATGAATTATAGATGCACGGTGTCATACACAATAGTAGACATATTGCTGGGTAGTTCAGATTAAGCTAAAATATGAGAATTTATATTGAGAACTATTCTCAATCCAGGTAAAACAGCATTTCCTTCCAGGCATTTGTATATAATTTGCTTTTTAATCAATGGTCCCCAAATCTAATATACTGTGAAAGTAAGCCACAGCTTCAAGTGTATGCAAGTTGGTTAGAGAAAATGATTCCAGGTTTACATATTATCTATAGCCAATGCTTGGAAACAATTTAGATTACCATTAACTGGGACTTTCCTCTGGAAAAAACATTAATGATAAATCCATTTAAATCCACCCTCAGTTTTAGATGAATGTCTGATACTACACTACTTCAATTTAGGACCCATTCAAGTGTACACATTCAACATTTTCTTCATGTCTCAAGATCACTATAAATTTCTAGTTAAGAAAGACCTGGGTATGGATGGTTTCTATCTTTTTTTGTTTTGTTTTGCCCCAGATCTGTTAATTTTTATGGGAAAATATTTGGAGAAAAAATATACACAAGTTGGTTAGGTCTGCATTAATGGTAGGCCTTATCCCTGGACAATTATCAAGGCACAAATCTGAGCATCTTTCGCATGTATTCCTAAGCATTTTGAGTTAGGTTTTAAAGGCTCATGTTGCAGAAGGAGACTTCTGGCAGCATTTATTTTTTGCAAATGCTTAAATTGTTCTGTAATGGTTTTACAATAGGTGATCCATGCCAACTCTTTTAAGGGCTCTAGCAATGTTTCAACAAATGTAAACATGTATTACCTGGTGGCAGTTTCACAGGGAAAGATTGTTTAGATACTACAAAGGGGAATTCACAACGTTTCCTCAGTTTGTAGCTTTCCAGCATAATTTCATTTTTTCCAGAGTTCTTCACCTCAATTTTAATAGTCACACGCTGGTCTGGAGAAATGTTGACTCGGATTTTACCATTTGGTTCATCATGCTCTGAAATAATGCTCACGTCATTCTTACTGGCCACAAATTTTGATCTGCAATAAAGAGACTGAGGAATCAGATTTCCTACAACTTCTAATACCACGTGCACGCATTCAGGATTCTGTTTAATTGCTCCATGGTAAAGGTTTTACATTTACAGAAGATATGAATAATACCAAAGTAGCTACTCTAGAACAGAAAATAAAAATATTAAGAAAATTAAATTTCAGGATTTTTTTTTTAAGTAAAAACCTAACTGTCATCATCTTCAAGGTGGAATGGTATCGGCAAGATGACAGTGATAGGAGCTGTTATATAACAAATTGAGACTAGGAGATGGGGAAAGCTATAATTTAAAGCAGGGGTGTCAAACTGCCGGCCCGCGGGCTGAATGCATCACATGGAAGCCGCGCCCACCCCATTGCCGGCAATGGCAAAACTGGCCTGATACGTTGTGCGATGTCACGTGACGTCGCGAATTTGACATGCCTGATTTAAAGGGACATATAAACATGTGACTTAGAAAGAATAAATGGACTCGTTTATTCAGGTTTGGATAAAAGTGGGTACTCCCATAAGGATGGAAGAACCCCAAATGCACACTCAAGCAAGTATATATAGGTTTCTTAGTTTCACTTGGTTACATAAGCAGGAAACACAGCTCATCGTAGATAAGGAAAGAAGTAACAAAAATTGTTTACACATCTATTGGCAATGGACAAAAAAAGTCAATCAATTAATTCCAACTTCCAATTCTGTGAAGTTGGAATTGATTGATTGACCTTCCCCCCCTCCAAACTTCTTTTGTTTCCTTGCACGTGGCGGCAGATCGCAAAGGAGAAACAGGATGGGGCTGGAAGTCAGGTAAGGAAAGAAATGCAATTCCTGGGGGAAGCGAGGGCATCTGGGCGGTGGTGTGGCAAGCTCTCCAGCTCCAAGGGGAAGGGGCAGCCAGCATGGCTGCTGATGGTAGGACACCCACCCGCTTCACCACTCTCCCTCCCCAAGCCTCCAATGCTCCACCTGCTGCTTTGCTTGGCCTGGCCATCGACCAGCATGGCTGCTCCGGGGCTGGCCTGGCACCAGAAGGGCACACGGAGTAAAAGGGATGTCAGCTGTAGCACAGATATATGATATCTCAGGACAAATCAAATTGTACACAAAGACTTTCTCTGTGATAAAAGAATCAACAAAAAATGCTTATTTCTGTGTCTTCATAGCATCCACACAAAACAGGTTGAATCTGCTTTTCTGTACTAAGTTGCATGTCCCCTATAACAGGGCTTTTCAACCAGTGGTATGGGTACCACCTGTGGTATATTGGCACCTGGCAGGTGGTATGCGACCATCCTAGAAAAGTGGTAGTGGGGGAGGGGAATGAGCTGAACCGGTGGCAGCACCGCACAAGCCTGAGCGAGAGATGGCTGGAGCTGCAGGGCTGTCAGGGCTCAGCGGAAGCGCCAGGATCAGTGCTACTTTCCAGCTGATCGGCACTTCTTCAGGGCTGTCAGGGCTCAATGGAAGCGCCAGGATCAGCGCCAGGCTCCAGCTGGAGCTCTGCGCTGATCCTGGTGCTTCTGCTGAGTCCTGAAGAAGCACCAATCAGCTGGAAAGCAGCACTGATCCTGGCACTTCTGCTGAGCCCAGAAGAAGCGCCAATCAGCTGCAATGTTGCAGCATCTCCAGGGTCTTGTAATTTACAATCAGATGCTTGGCAACTGATTCATATTTATGATGGTCACAGTGTCCAAGGGTCATGTGAAGTGACCAAAACCTGCTGCAACCACCCAGCAGATGGGGGAATAAAAACCAAACATCCCCCACTCCACCCCCGCTGCCAATCCTCAATAGAAATGCTCACAACAATGGAAACCTCGGACAGGAGGAAGAGTGCGGGCAGACAGGTGTCTTGCTCGGCTGTGGCTTGGGGGGCACTTTTTTCAGTGCCATTGTAACTTCAAACAGTCACTAAGCGAACTGTTGTAAGTCAAGCTACCTGTACTTTTATCATTTTTTTCCTTTTGGGGGGGGAGAGTCATCAGGTTTTTGACACCTTGCTAGGCGACTGGTGGTGATCGGATGTTGCCGTATCTTAAAAGTGGTACAATGGGTGAATAGGTTGAAAAGCCCTGCCATCTATAAGTATAAGATAGGGTGGACCAGAACAGTTGATGGCTCATTGTGAAAATTTCCATGTGAAATTTCCATGTGAAAATTTCCATGATTCTTTTAGATAAAATTGAATAAATCCATTATCATCAGAAACAAATTGGAAAAAAATGGGAACCCTGCTTATGATTATATGAATACAGGGTAGATTTCCATAAATATCTGGGACAGGTTCCAAGAAAGGATACCACATAGATGCAAAATCCACACATATGGTGTACAAAGATCATGATGACCAATCAAACTCTCCAACTAAAAATAGTTTTTTTTTAAATATATGGAAGATACATATATGAATGTATGTTCCTCCCAAAGCAGAAGCACAGTGAGGCTCAAACGTTTGGGCATTTAATGAGCATTAAGATTTGGGATGTAATTAGCATCTTGGCCTTTAAAAATGTAAAGAAAAATATCCAGACAAAATAAAATTCTGCTATTTTCTCTGCTTAATAGGTTTTTTTTCTGGCATTTACAAGAGTTGGAGCATTCTTTACTTAAATAAATCTTAGAATTCAAAACTTCTGAAAATAATACCAAGGCTTAAACTTTTCATTTACAACATAGGACAAAACACTCTGAGAATACATAAAAAATTAAGTCTCCTTAAGTTTTGCTCCCATAGTTACACCATCCAATTTTGCATTACATACCTGCGCTTAACACGTGCTCCAGGGGGAAGTGGATTATTACATGTGTTTTTATCTTGGGTAGAGTCGTCTTCAGCTCCAGCATCAGCTTTTGGTTTCCAATACTGATCAATAAGCTTTAGTTTCCTCTTCACCTATAGAGAAGCAAAAAAGAAATAAAAAAATGATTTCCAACGAATTGTAACCTATTGGAAAAATATACACAGAAAGTAGTTCACTACTAATCTGAAACAAATAATAACACTCATCAAATTCAAAGGGAAGTTTATCATGTAAATTTTATCATTTAGAAATATTTTCAATAAAAAACTGGTTCTAAATCTATACAATAATTTTAATAGTTTTGGTATGGTCTCTGGTTTAAAAACAAATAAATCAATTCGAAAACTGCTAAAACAGGGCTAGTCCAGACTCTATGCCATGAAATTGTCCAAGATGAACCCCACCAGATGAATCCTACCACTTTTTTTTTTTACATCCCAGAATCATATTTCAGTAGTACTGAGATTAATACTACAGGCAGTCCTCAAATTATGATAGCAATTGGGATTATAATTGTGAGTCCCTAAATGATGTGGTCATAAAGCCTGCTGTCATATGAATGTGTTGCTTAGTGACAACAGTTATGATTGCCATTGTTAAGTGAAGACCATGCAGGTGGTTAAATGAGGACCATAAGTGACTCTAACTTCTTATCAGTTTCCCCAATGACTTTGCTTATGGGAAGCTGGAAGGGAATCAGAATGGGACAAGTCACGGCAGCCAACTCGCCACAGTTAACTCTCCATGTCAACTTGCTGCAGGACAACTCGCTTCAGGATAATTCAACAATTCAATTATTTAAAATAATTAAAACTTTTTTTAATTCACATTTAATTGTGACCTTCCTTTGGTATCCTTTCTTTAATGATTCTAATTCCACTATTTCTTCAATATTAATGTAATTCTTGTCCTCTGGCAAGGTGTCCCATGGTGAGTTGGCCATAGTGAGGTGTCCCATGGTGAGTTGGCCATAACACGTTGGCTACCATCAGTTGTTGTAGACCCACAGGAAATGTCAGAAATTGTGATCAAATGACCAGGGCTCCCTGTGTTGTTGTAATCCTAAACTGAGCACCTGGATCACAATCGTGAAACCATGAGGATGCTGCAAGCAAGAATTACAAAGATGGTCATAAGTCCCCCTCATTCAGTGCTGTTGCAAGTTTGAACAGTCGCTGAAGGAGTGGTTGTAACTATCTATAATTACCACTGGTATAAATAAATTGCAAAAAGACTATAAATCAACAAGCTAGTTTTGTTTCTTTCCATGATGATCTTATATCTAAAGAACCTTATTTTAATGCCTTGGAATCCATAAGGATCCATTAAGCCCAGTTGTTCAACATCAACTATCAAAAAATGATGCAGAAAGTCAAATGAACCTTCTTACCTGAAAAATATTCACATGATCACCATAGACAAAAGCACGGTTTGACATCCTCAGCACATAGAGCACATTGGAAAAGTTGGGTCTTTTTATATTATCTCTGTCAGACAATAGAATATAACTTTTATTCAACTACTAAACATGTGCATTAGTTGACTACTCACACATACACAAATCCCTTCTCACACTTATGGTGATCTGGGTACTCCTCAATCTCGGATCCTCTACTGCTAAGAGAAAGATCAGAAACCATTTCTTAACCTAAACAGTCCATTTCGGACATGTGATGCAACACCCAGAAAAATACAGCATACTCTATTTAATCCTCCAGGGAAAGATTGAAGGCAAACGAGGTCCAGGCAGAAGAAGAACATCGTGGCTTCAAAATCTAAGGGACTTGTTTGGACAAAACTCAGCAGCACTTTTTCGTGCGGCTGCTGATAAAAACAGGATTGCCAACATGATCGCCAACGTCCGATAACAGATATGGCACAAGAAGAAGAAACAGTCCACAATACTAAAAATACAATACAGAAATATAACTGAACAAACAGGCAATTCTATTTATTTGCTCCTGCCAACTATATACCCAACCAATCACAGAACAAATATCAGAAAAATAAATGAGAGATGAAGGCCACTTAGAATATAAAAGAATATAAAGCTGTATTTCCTTCAGGGCTAGCACACTGCCTACGAATAAAATACATTTAAGAGGCTCAAAGGCTTAGTGCAGGGGTAGGCAACCTTGGCTCTTTTATGACTCGTGGACTTCAACTCCCAGAATTCCGAGCCAGCCAAACTGGTCAGGAATTCTGGGAGTTGAAGTCCATGAGTTATAAAAGAGCCAAGGTTGCCTACCCCTGCCCTATGGCTTCCTGGTTGATGCTACACCAGAAACCTGGTTGGGCAACTTCTGAAAGGGGAACATTCTATTCCCCAATCTTGGTTATGTGTGCCAGGTCAGCACCCTCATCCACAATAAGATCATGGATAAAGACAGGCTCGGGAATTCTGGGAGTTGAAGTCCACGAGTCATAAAAGAGCCAAGGTTGCTACCCCTGACTTAGTGGATCCTGAAAGCTAAACCTACTGTCATTTAAAGTTGCAGGAAAGGAACAGCACTGCATGGGAAGAAGCAAGTTAAAACTCAACATAGGTTTTTTCCAAAGTTATCATGTGTATTTATATGTGTGCGTATGTGTATGTAGTTCAATCAATCAGAATAAAGTTGGAAGGGATATAGTCCAACCCCCTGCTCAAGTAGGAGACCCTATACCAGGGGTCTTCAAACGTGGCCCTTTTATGACTAGTGGACTTCAACTCCCAGAATTCCTCAGCCAGGATGAGGAATTCTGGGAGTTGAAGTCCACAAGTCATAAAAGTTTGAAGACCCCTGTCCTACATCATTTCAGACAAGTGGCTGTCCACTCTCTTCTTAAAGACCTCCAGTGATGAAGCACCCACATCTTCTGCAGGCAAGCTGTTCCACTGGTTAATTATTCTCACTGTTCGAGAGTTTCTCTTTCATTCCAGGTTGCTTCTCTCCTTGATTAGTTTCCATCCATTGTTTCTTGTCTTGCTTTTTGGTGCTTTGGAAAATAAGTTGATCCCCTCATCTTTGTGGCAACCCCTCAAATACTGGAATACTGCTGTCATGTCACCCCCAATCCTTATTTTCTCTAGACTAGTCATACCCAATTCCTGCAACCATTCTTCATATCTTTTAGTCTCCAGACCCTCTTTTGGCTACATACAAACAAATTTAAAGGATATATACATGCATTTCATATAGCCCTTCAATTTATTATGTGATACTGCAAGTACTAGCTGGTACAAAAAGTTAATCCTGATTTACATAAGGAATATGGATCAATATGAAGAATATTGTTCAATAAACATTGGTTGGAATAAATAAAGGAGGCAAAGCTTTTTCCATTTTTTTTATAAAATCAAACTTTGGATAGACAAGTTCAAAAGTAAATGGAAGCAGAAATTAAATTTAATTATGTTATAACTGAGTCACTTTGTCAAGGAGATGGCCAGCATAAAAATTTAATAAATAATAACTGCTATTAATGTTATACCACATTTAACATCACAATTCAATGGCAAACTTTTAGAGGGATGTAGCCAAGGATACTAGAGGCTTAGGTAACCTTGATATTGCTTGATATTTATTAGTACTGTGATAGGAAAACTATATAAATTCAACTAGAATGCTTAAATTCTAGCAACAAATATTTTCTATTTAATTGTGAGGCCTATTTCACTGACATATTGTAATCTGTCATTGTCTTTGGGATATCAAATACTCCACATACTCATAAGCATAAAATCAAAGGATCAGCAGTAGCAGCTTAGGGGGAGAGGGCCAAGGTTTGAAGTGTACCTGGTAATAATAAGAATACATCACTGTGATAAATATTGCAAAATGACTGTATATATCTGCACAAGCACACAAACACAGTTTTGAGCAGCTCAATTCTCTTGGATATGTTCTAGCTCCCTTTTTTTAGAGGGGTTTTGTTATTATTCTTGGAAATCTCAGGATTTTGCAAAATTAAGTTTCAAACCATTCTTTCTGCCATGGCACAAATAAAAAGCTATGTTCTAGATTTAGAGAACTGAGGAAGGCAAGTACATTTTTCTAACAGGAAGGAAAGTGTTAGCCTCCTTCTTTCAAATGTGGCTCCAATAAGAATCTCCCACTTTATTTTTTAAAAAATAAAACAACTGCCCAGATATGTTCTTTTTTATAAATGCATTTAACATGAGACAGAAACCTGGATTACTAAATTACAAAACCCAAAGGAATATGTTTACAATTTGACTTTCTTTTTGCAGTATCTCATATTTAACTGTAGTTTAAATTTCAATTTCAGTGTTTTATTTGACCTATTAAAAAAAATCATATATCCAATTAAAATTTCATTTGCTACATAAATGTCAAACTTCTATAGTAGCCAAAAATATTTGAACTGATAAAAGTTCAGTGTAGAAAATTCAATACTCTCCCACTTCAGGATCATAAACCTAGCTTTCCAATCTTAGAAATGCACAAATTTCTTAGATATACATGTTTTGCTTTCTATTCTCCTGAAGTGGATTTTATACTGCAAATGACTCATTGGCTGTACTGTATTTGGTTTCTATTTATTAACCTCTGTTTGTACAGTTTACAGAGAGGTAAGTTACTAGACCTGATATTGACCTTGCAAACATAATAAATTTAAAGTTGTGTTCATGATCATCAAGCCCTGTTTGTAACAAAATGTTTAAGATTTTAAAATCATCTGTTTTTTAAAAAATTGCCCATGATCTTACTATTAATGAATCCAGTAAATATTCATTAATGGCTCTGAATTAATTTAAGAGAAACTCTAACTCAATTGCTGTTTTAGAGTGTAAGAGATTGTTTTGTGGTTAAGAGTATCACTAGCTAGACGCAAACAACTGGGAAATGAGAGACATCCTTGTTGGCTTATAAAACAGATTCTTAGCCCATTATATAACACAACCTGGGGGAAAGAAATTCAAAAGCTTCAAGAATACCTTGTTAATAAATTCAGCAATAAAGGACTTGAGTACTGTATTCCTATATCGATTTTTAAGATTTTGAATTCTGACCACTAATTCCTGACTTTAAATTTTATTAATGAAAGGCCTTATGAATCTTGCTTCCTTGATTATGGTCTGCAGTTAAGGAGCTTGATACACAACCTATTTTGTTTAGCAGTAGATGAGAGTGCACTTGTTGCATAGCTGTAAAAAAATATCTAACACCAAGTCCAAATCAAGATGAAAAATATTTTGACAGCCTAGACCAGTGATGGCGAACCTTTTAGAGACCGAGTGCCCAAACTGCAACCCAAAACCCACTTATGCATCGTCAGGTGCCGGGTGGGTGTGGCCCATTGGCTAGGTGTGGCCAATTGGGTGGGTGTGGCCCATTGGGTGGGCGTGGCTGCGGTGGTAACAGCAGACTGGGTGGGACTAAAAAGTTCAATCAATCAATTCCAACTTTGCAAGATCTTTTTTTTCCCATGAGAAGTTGAAATTTACTGATTGATTGAACCTTTTTTTTTTTTGCACACAGCACTGGAGGCCTAAAGCGAAAAGGTTTTATAAAACTCAACTGAAGGCCTAGGACTGGGGCAATGGCGCACGTGTCCCCAGAGAGGGCTCTGAGTGCCGCCTCTGGCACCCTTGCCATAGGTTCGCCACCACTGGCCTAGACCATTTAGGCTAAAATTATCCAGAAAAAAATTAATAAATATAAATCTTGGGGGAGGTTGGAGGTATGTCTCTGTGAATGGGCTTGGGCACACGTATCTTCAATGAGTCTTGGCTTCTTGTGATTGCTTGCAGTAGCTTCTCTGGTGAGATTTTTGGAAATAGTTTGTTATTGAGAAACTGAAGGACTGACCCAAGATACAAAACATTAAAGGCATACCACAGAATGGGGGAGTTTACCTCAGCAATGCAACCACAAGCTGCCTACAGGAAGCCTACAACTTACAGTCTTCTGATTTCTGATCAGAACCTTAACTCCTACGCAGTGTTTCTCAACCTTGACAATTTTAAGGCATGTGGACTTCAACTCCCAGAATTGCACAGCCTTCTGGAAGTTGAAGTCCACATGCCTTAAAATTGTCAAGGTTGAGAAACACTGTCCTAGAGCAAACAGGTTCCTACTTCATTAATGGAATAAATAAACAAAATGGAGACTACACCTTTCTCTATTTTTTTGGATGTGACTAAGATCAAACCCAGTTTCAAATCTTTGCTTTTTCCCTTTGGGAAAAAATGTGCAGCAAGTTGCAAAGCCAGGTAGAAATCCAAGTTATGGTGATGAAATAAGTGGAGAGTTGGGGACTGGCTGGACAACAGCCGTATAAGTGGCAAAATCTCTTCCTGTTACCAGTTCTCAAAAAAAAAAAAAAAAATTCTCTACATTCCAGAATGGCAGGGAAAATTTAGTCCTCAGCTTCTTCAAGGGTCTTAAAATAATTGCTCTTGAAAAACTATTTGTAGTCTGTCATATGTTAACTAATTTTACAAATCACAGATTGTTTGATTGCCATTGTTTTTACTGTCTTCATTCTTTGTGGAGGGATAATTTTTGAACCGGTTTAAGGAAGGCGCATAGATTTCTTTCCTTACAATAGAAATTCGAAGGGGAAAACAAAGATTGAGAGCATGCCTTGAATTAGAGCCCCCATCAAACAAACAAATTGAAAGAGTACCAAGGCCTTCACAGAGCCTCCTCATAAAAGATACTTAAGGTACGGAAATTACGTGTCGTTTCTTCACTAACATCTTACAAAGATAAAAATAGGCGGATGGTTTCCCCTCAACAGCAGAAGAACATACAGAACCGGAAGAGACATATCTCAAAGTAGGCCTAATTCTTTGGGAATAAGTTCCTTCTAAGGAATTGTCCAAATTTAATAATCTACTGTGCACAGAATCTTATACCTGTCTTTTTGTATCATCAAACCCATCTACTTTAATGGAAGTTAGTTAAGGATAAATCAAGTTTCTTGGCTTGGAGTGTTAAAAAAACAAAACAAAAAAAAGGCAGACAAAATGGCTGTAAGTCACCGAGAAGGAGAGGTTTACTAGCCAAGGATACCCAAAATGGCTTATCTAATGGCTAGTTCCAATAGAAACTTTCGAAAACTTTAAACTTTCGTTTAAAACAATCTACCAAACACGGTTGGGCTTCGCAGTCTGAATTAATTCCACTCAGATCTTCTTCAAAGGCAACACTTTCTTTAATTCTCCTTCCATACTATTTCCTCCCCAGATCTTCATTACTTTGCTCAAGGTTTCCTGCCTACCAAAAATGTTTTCTGGGCTAGCATTTAATATTGAATGGAAAGCTGTTAGCTCCCTATCTTCCTACAGCAATCGCGGTCTTCCGCCCCTCATCCCTCATTTCCAGACGGCGCCGAGCGCCCACCTGATGCAGCGCCGGAATTAAGCGACGCCGAAAAAACGGAGCCGGCGCCCCATGAAGTTCATGCCTTCGAGCTTACTGTTAAGGAGAAATAAGTTTAAACTCCCCTTCAGAGGAAAACAGGATCCACTCCTACGAAAAAGCTAGTGGTCACATCACAGTGCTCTCCAGACCCATTTTTCAAGCGTTCAACCACCTACCGATACCGGAACTCCTGGTTGTAGAGTGCTTTCAAGGCAACCTTGCTGTTCATTCGCTGGTTGCCAGAATCCTGCAGGAACCGTATAAACTGCTCTCCGACCTCCCTTGTCTCGCTAAAGGTAAGTTTGGGCATGATGATCCGTTTCGCGGGAGCTGCTTCGCTTTCCCTCGCTTGCTTGTAAACGGAGGCGGGACCGCTTCCCTTCGCCTGGAGAAGTAAGTGCCGACTCAGAGCTCCTCCTCTTGAAAGCTAAAACTTGAAAGAGGAAGAAACGAAACTGAAAACGCACTGGTCCCTCTGATCAATCCCCCTCGTTTTCCCTGGAGCTCCTCTCTCTCGGCCCGGGAAAGAAGATACGGAAGCTGGAAAAGCACATTTTATCATCTGTTTTCGTTTTCGTTTTCAGTTTCTGAGAAGGAGGTGCTTTCCCCTAAATACGAAACGTTATAAATGTCACACATAAAATGAAGCCTCATCATTGTTACAGATATTTCCGGAATTATTTCATTAGACAAATCGAAGCTGTGTCAATTGTTTTTTTATTTATTTTTTATCACACCGAGGAGGAAGGGATTCGGAATTTACGCCTTAGGCATCGAAATGATTATTTAACTAATTAATTTGTATCCCACCCTTGTTTTCACAAATGACTCAAGGCATTTGTTACTGTAGGCAACACACCTTCCTACTTCTATTTTCCCCACAACCCCGTGAGGCGAATTGGGCTGAGAGTGACTGACCCAAAGTCACCCAGCTGGCTTTCATTGCTAAGGAGGGACTAGATTTAGTGTGTCTCAGATCGGTAGAAACTGGTCTTTATTGCATTACTTACCAATGTATAAGCCCAACATGCATCATTGCAATACAGTAGTGATCTATAGCACAAAATACACTTTGCAGATTAAAAATGGTGTCTCATATACATTCAATCGTACATGCGGTATGATAGACTGTTACAATATGATTACTTTTTAAAATAGCTTCAAGAGCTAATGGCTCTATTCAATGCTTTTCTAATTTTTGATAGAAGTAAAAGAAAGATCTTCAAAATTTAATATTGAAAGAGAAATTTAAAATTGAATTTGCTGCAGTGGAAATATACTGAGTAGAGAAGCTGTGGTGGGAAAGAGGAAAGGTTAACATAAAGAAAGGATGTAAAGGAAATATGTAGGCAAAAATAGCTGGGTCTTTAGAGTGGGAAAAGGAAGAAGAAAACATCTGTAATAAAAGATAACTAGCAAAACAGGAAAGAACCTATTTTTCTATGAAGTCATAAAAAAGGGGGCCAGAACTCAGGCAACTGAGCATGCGCAATTAATTGATTAACTGACACACCTTGCATAAATTATCTCCTAATTTTAATGTACATGTGATGTATGATTTAGTATGTAGGAGGAAATATGTAGGAGGCGGTCGGAAAGAGTGTAACCTCATAGTACCTCAGCCAATGGGGAAAGAGGAGGGATGTGGCAGCCGGGACAAGGGATGTATAAAGAAGTAAATATTTTGGGTTAAAACTTTGGAGAGAACCAAGCTTTGAAAGCTTCTCTCCCCGCTTATTGCAATAAACGAAACAAAAGGCCTTCACTGTGTCTTGGCTGGTTATTGGTCAGGCGAGCTTGCCTCTGGTCACGAAGGAAAGTAGCCAGGAGCACATAACATTTTGATCCCTAAACTGAGCCTTTACATTTGTTTAGCTACTTACACATATCCTTCCTTTGATTAAGATGATTTTGCTTTTCATGTTCTCCTGGACGAGCAGCTGCCCTATATACATTTTGTTATATAATTTGCATAATGAAAGTTTAGGTATAATTTGTGTTATATAGTGTAAGGTTTTCCACTTAGCCTCACAATTGCCCCAGCGTTACTCAGGAATTTAAAAGAGCCAAAGAAACTCCTGAGTAGAGATTTCAGCAAGCAAACAACTTTTATTTTGATCTAAATAGAGTTGGGTGACCCCATCTCTCTTCCTGGTTGGTAGAGAGATGAAGGCAACAACCAGGAAAGATGTCTCCCACCTTTTATACCTTTCCAGAACAAAAAAGATCAGGTCTTGGTACCAGGCATAAGATGGCACAAAAAAATAATTCCTAGATGATGACTCAAACACAGCAACCCAGGCTCCATCTGTAACTCCTTTTCATGTAAGCAATCACCTGTACCTAAAGCATGAAACATTTGCTTCTATATAACTATTTTCCCAATATAAAGCACCTACAAAGCTTCTTGCACATAAACATATATATATATATATAATGATTACAAAGTATCACTACTAATATCAATATTACTAATATCAACCTTAAGCATAATAAAATCCCTTCAGTAGTTTGAATAATGAAACATCTGCAAGATAACCAAGCTCAGAGAGCCCAAGGACACCCAATCAAATATACATAAAGTGCCTTATCAGCACTTCCCTGCAATCAAATGACCTTCCATTGTGAACCAGACATTCCAAAAAACTGATATGATTAACTACAGCATTTGCTTTTGCTACTAAATCTACAACATTCTGTTTTAAAGTGAGATCAGTTTTGTGCTGCATCTTCCTATGTCCACAATAAGTCAATTAGAGTGTCTAGTCCTTGCACTGGTTTTCGCCTAGCCAAAACCTTTTAATTTAGCAGTTTTCAGGCAATATTGCTGCTAACGCCTGGGTGGCTCTATTGTCATTATGAAAAAAATGTTAACATCTATTCATTCTTATATGAGAGTTTATACCCACAAATGATTAACTTTGGATATAACTTGTATGGGAGATAAACTGATTTCAAGCAAATATTTACAATTTTGTTGCTAGCAGGGATCTAGCTAATGGTAATACAGGCCAAGTAGTTTGGTTTTCATTGCTTCTTAAAACTGTTTTGGTATTCCTATTCTGTTAAGTGTTGGACCTGGAGTGGAGAAGTATATATTAGCAGCAGCTAGCAAAACCCTCCCAGACTATAGCTTCTTTTGGTCCTTGAGGATTGTCAGGTTGTGAACCTACTGTGTCTGAGAGAGCACAATCCCTTAAATACAATCCTAGAACATAGGACAACAAAGATTTTTGTGTAGCTCATGCCCATCCAGGCATGCACTTGGGGCATACTGCATAATATTTGTGGAACTGGTATAGTTTGGGAATGCCTAGGCTGGATGGATGTTGCCTAGAAAGACAATAAAAGTTCACATGAACAAATGCTACTTATTTCATTGATATCAGTTTCCATGTATTTTGATGTGATTGTCTCAATGCATAGAATTGTCTATGTCCATGTAATTTACACAACAAGCAACTCAATAGACTTGCTATTGGTCCATTGGTGATAGCAGAAATGTCTTGCCAATGTCAGAACAACATTGAAACATTCTGCTATATTTGTGGTGAGTACACTCTAAAGCCTCAAAGGCGTTGCACAGCTGGACTTATTAAGAAAGTGTACAAACTGTACTTTGGTTATAAGATTGATGATGAAGAGAAAGCCTGGGCTTCTCACATTTGTTGTGCAAAGATGTGCTATTGGCCTTGGACATTCGCTCATAGAAACTTGGAAATCAATACCATTTGCGGTTTCAATGATATGGCAAGAACAAAGTGATCACATCATGTGACTAATATTGCTGATTTCTCTTGTAAAAATAAGAAATCAATTAAATACTCACTCTGCCTTCAGCCATGAGACCAATGCCACATAATGACAATCTGTCAGTACCATCTGTCAGTACATCAGCCAGACATGGACAGTGACAATGATCTGGATTTTGTCTGGTAAGCTTCATCTCATAACATAGTCAGAATTAAATGACCTGGTCAGGGACTAGATTTATCAAAATCAAAAGCAGTATGGTGTTTACTGTCACTAGGTATGAACATCTGTCTTTCAAAGCTGCCAACATCATTTAACAAGCTTCTTTGCATAGGTTGACAACCTTGTTTTCTGGACTGACATTTTAGTTTATTCACAACTTTGGCTTGTGAGCATGATCCACAGGAATGGTGTTTCTTTATTGATTCATCAGTGTTAAGCCACAAGGCTCTCTTGTTACATAACAGCAATTTATGCTGTTAAGTATCTAAGATGCCCAGGAAAGGAACACAAAAACATGGAACTGTTGTTGAAACACATCTAGTGCACCAATGACAACTTGAATATCTGTGAATATCTAAAAATAGTGGCTCTGCTGCTTGGAATGCAGCTACTGGTATATACCAAGTACTGTTGTTAAATATGCAAAAGGGATAGCCATGCAAGAGAGTCACATTACATTAAAAAGAAATAGCCACTCTAAAACAATTTGTTCTGGGACCGAAAAATATGGCACATGAACCATTTGTTGACCTGGCAAAGACACTTTTATCTCCACTTCACATGATACTATGATTGATGAAAAATTTTGTGAAAGCAATAAACGAGAAAGATGAAGGATTTTGTTATTAAAAACAGATATTAAAAAAACCCCATGCAGTGTTTTTAATAGCAATAGGTTAGCTCGGATTTAGACTCAAATCCAACCTTGTGTTCATTGCTACAATCCAAATTAATCTCCATACTGCCATATCTCTTTGACTTGCTGTGTTACGTTCTCTATATAAGACCACATGTGAATACATATGTGAGAGTTTTTGTATTATGTAAAAGAATGTATTAAGTGTGCATTTCTTTCTCCAATACATTTTAAATTTCTTTTCAAATTGGAAATCAACTGAGATGTGAATGTATCATACAAACCAATCAGCCTAACATCAATACCTGGGAAGATACTGGAAAAGATAATAAAAAAACAGATCTGCGAACATCTGCGAATATCTAGAAACAAAGTTATAAATAAAAGCCAGCATAGGTTTGTTAAAAACAGTTTATGCCAAACCAATCGTATTTCATTCTTTGACAAAGTGACTAAATTAGTAGACCAGCAAAATGCTGTGGACATAGTATATTTAGATTTCAACATGCATTCGACAAAGTAGACCACAACCTACTTATGGTAAGCTAGAAAAATGTGGGATAGACAGCATCACCACCAGATGGATTTGTAACTGGCTGACAAACTGTACTCAACAAGTCATCCTTAATGATACTACATCTACATGGAGAGACGTAAGCAGTGAGATGCCACAGGGTTCCATCATAGGCCCAGTACTCTTTAATATCTTCATAAATGACTTGACTTAAATGATGAGAGAATTAGAAGGGGAACCATCAAATTTGCAGATGACATTAAACTGGC